GTTTAATTCTTTTATTTTAGTTCCTGACTTTTTCTTTTTTTTTCTTTTTTTTTTTTCTTGTTTTCAGCAAGGTAGCTGTCTTGTTTTTATTTATATTTTGTTTGTAGTTCGAGTCATTTTTTCCTAGCTTTTTCCTATTGTTATCTTTTTGTTTTCATAAGTTCCAGTTTTTTATTTCTAGTACTTATTTTATTATTTGTTTTTCCTTTCAGTTTTATTTCCCTATAGCCATAGTTTTGCAAGTTTCTACTTTTGATCTGTGTCTATCTCTTGTCTCTCCTGTTGTCTTGTCTTTGAGTGTCTGTCAAGGTGGTTCCTGCCCTGCTTCCTGAGTCCTCCCTGGTCACTGATTCTTCTGACCTGGCAAACATTTTGGTGCTTCAAGAGTTACCATCCCCAGGGCCAAGCCTGTGGTTCCTTTAGCTGCTACCTAGTCCCCTTTAGCCACAGAGTCTGGAGCTACCCCCATCCCCGACCAGCCCGTTCTCCTGTTGTGAGCCCTGCCTTGTTGTGTGAACTGTCTTCCTGCCTCATCTTTTTGTGCTCTAATTTTGTTAATAAACTGTTTCCCCTGTCCATTCTGCATTTGGGTAATCATATAGCAACACCCTGGCAACCACTCACACATTAGCAATAGCATCAACCACACATTAGCATTTTGGTGGCAGGTTTTCATTAGAAAATGTAAATATCTGTACTGTTTTACTGAGGCTGGATGGCCAAGTCTGTATGTTGCTTAAGCACATTGTGTATATAAATAGTATGAGTCCTTTTAAACACTTGAAATGTTTTAAAACACATCTGTAGGTTTACTATGTCCTGACCCTGCTGAGGTTAACCTCAACAACTCCCAAACATGTAAGCACAGTTCCTCTTATCACACGTGGCGTGCTCACAGCGGGGCAGATCAGCGGCTCAGCAGTAAATGAGCAAACGCAGGGCTTTGGGTGGCTCGAGAGAGATCAGGGAGTTCTTGGGACTTGGGAGTGGTGTCAGGGGAACTCGAAAAAATACAGGTGGCATGACAGGTGGGACCCCATTCTAGGACTGTGTTGGTGGACCAGTCAATATAGGGATTATGCTGCAGAAGCCAGGGGTGACCAAGGACTACAGGGAAGTTGGGAGACTGAATGAAATGGAAAACTATTTCCTCTTGGTGTTGAAAAATGGAAAGGTGTAGAGGGGATATTTGATGCGTTATCTCTCCCTGGCCCAAAGGTCGTCCATCCAGAGCAGTAACAGCCAGGGGAAAGGGAAGGTATTCACAGGGAATACAGAGTTACTTAGCCAGGGAAAAATCCATGAAATTTCCAGCCGCACCAGAATCCACCCAGGCCTGCAAGGAGTGGTTATGATAGTACCAGGAGAGTGTGACTGGAAGAAAAAATCCTAAATTGGTGAGGGGAGCAGTTAGGGTAGCTCCTGTAACAGACCTGCTCTGGCATTATAGTCATCCGAATGCACACAACACAGATTACATGTGCCATGAAGATTTAGTGTAGGCCAGGAGACTGTGACTAAATTGTCCTTTCAGTTCTGGTCAATATTAAATGCTGCACTCTTAAACTGCTAAACTTTGCATTAACTTGATACACGTGATCAGTCGCCGCTCTAGGAGTAGTTGTGTTTATCAGAGATGCTCCGCTAGCCGCCGGAGCTCAAACCCAGACACAAACCAGTCACAGAACCTCACTGAGCTCCGTTTCCCATCTCCGATCCATTTTCTACATGATTGCAGGAGTCACTGTTGGGTTCGATTTCGACTCTACGGCTACCAGATCTTCTCATTGCCTAACAGGGTTCTACACAACATAGCCGTCACATCTCCAGGACCTCAGCGAACAGTGAATTATTAAAGCTTAACAAGCTGTCGGGACACCAAACTCAATTGTGCGTTTTAATTAAATGTCTCCCTCTCTCACTCCATCCGCCTCCTCTCTGCTGACAGTGAGATGGTGGTGTTTGAGATGCTCCAGTGTTTCCCCTTGAACAGACGGGGAACATGGGAAATGGAGCGTTTTTATCTGCTCAGTCAGCATTTGAAGTTTATTATTGCTAATGTTTTTGCAAAACGAATAATCCCTCAAATTGTACAGCTTGTTCAAGAGAGCTGTGCTATTAATTGTACTGAATGAGCACTTTATAGTGTAGTGTACTAGTTCAGGTTTGAAAGTATAAAATTATACTTTAATATGATATTCATGAAATAAAAGGCCACTTAAGTGAACTTAAAGACAGACTCTTTCATGACTAAGTTTCATTACACACTTTTAAAGTGTGCTCTTTGTAATAATGTCAAGTTAAAGATTGTACTTTATGGTACATATTATAGTATGCAATATAAATAACAGAATAAAATGCATTTTTTTGTCATGCTGTAAAGAAGGACACTTATTTTGATGTGTTGACTATATACTAAAGTATATGTGAAGTACTTGATTATAATTTTAACTGTAGTGTGTTATTCGATATTACATTTAAAGTTAATATATTTTAACTGTACTAAATTGCAGCTTCATCATAATCAGTAAGCTTCGATAGAAAGTGCGTTCTAGTATGTTTTAGTTTACCATAAATGATTGTTAGTACATTCAGCAGTCCATATTTTAAAGACAATAGAAATAAGTATGAATTTACATACATTGATGGACTTACGTCCCACTTAAGTGGGTCAATAAACCGCTCTAAAGTTCAGCTAATTGCAATTAACATACACTACATTTCAGTTAATTGCAAATAGCATGCAATTAATTGTCTGAAAACATTACATTCAGTTCACACTTAAGTATATATATATATAGGCCTATTTTTAAGTATATTATTTCCATAAGTACTCTTGAAGTGTACTTTCCCCCCCCTAGGGTTAGCATTGCTGTTGCACCTACCCTAGCAACCACCTAGCAATAAGCATTCTCTTAGCATCGCCCTAAAAAACTGTGAGAACACCTTAGCAAAGCATACAACAACCACTTTTATTAGCAACCACTTGGGATTACCCTACAAACCACAACGTAACTTAAAAGCACTCAAACATATAGTAAAAAAGCAACACTTATATAGTAGGCTACTCAAAACCACACAGAACACCTTAATGACACCCTAACAAACACTCCTTAGCAATCATATAGCAACACCCTGGCAACCACTCACACATTAGCAATAGCATCAACCACACATTAGCATTTTGGTGGCAGGTTTTCATTAGAAAATGTAAATATCTGTACTGTTTTACTGAGGCTGGATGGCCAAGTCTGTATGTTGCTTAAGCACATTGTGTATATGAATAGTATGAGTCCTTTTAAACACTTGAAATGTTTTAAAACACATCTGTAGGTTTACTATGTCCTGACCCTGCTGAGGTTAACCTCAACAATTCACAAACACGTAAACACAGTTCCTCTTATCACACGTGGCGTGCTCACAGCGGGGCAGATCAGCGGCTCAGCAGTAAATGAGCAAACGCAGGGCTTTGGGTGGCAGAACAGATCACAGGTGTGCTGACAGAACACAGCCACTGTCCCAGAGCTGATGAGTGCCGAGACAACACACACACACACACACACACACACACACACACAGATTTACTGCACAATAACATGCACAGCAGGTTGCATGCTAAGGGAATTAGTCCTACACATGACTGAACACATCCCAGGCACACTATTCCTGTTTATGACTGTAAATCACAGACAGTTGTTGTTTGTGATTACTGGATAAAGATTTTCAGAAATCACTCACAACTTACCAACTAAACATTTTATAGTCAATAAAATATTTTAGAACTGATTATAACTAAAAATGTCATATGAAATTATTGTCATATTATATTTATTTCCCAGGCCTGAAATGATTAAAAAATAAATAAATAGGATAAAAATATGGCTTATTTATAAGGTGTGCTCCTTGTTTTCATTTGGTTGTATTTGATATAAAACTTAAAACTGTAAAGTGTATCAAGTACGAAGGGGTATATATAATATAAAGGAAGTGTGTTTAGAAGTGTGCTATATAGATCAAACACGTTTCAGAATCCATCCACTGAAGTCAATGTTGCACTGAACCAAAAGTGTTTGACTGAATTTCCCCTGCCATATGTTGTAGCGTGCTGCCCTCTGCTGGACATGAGCACTAAACTGCAAAGTGGAAAGATAGTGTACAAAAGAGAAGTTTGGATTAGATAGATAGATAGATAGATAGATAGATAGATAGATAGATAGATAGATAGATAGATAGATAGATAGACAGCCAGACTAATAAATAAATAAATACAACTGATTAAAAGATTATTTAATGTATTATTCTATACCAGTGCAAATAAGTAATATCAACTTAAAAAAACTGTGCAGATATATATATATATATATATATATATATATATATATACCATAAAAATGTATTTTACGTAGAATTATGTACAAGTGTTAATTAAATATTTAAATATTACATAGTTAATAACCACATAAATTCCTTCTGCTAAACCTCAATATATTGTGATAAATAAAAATATATAAATGTATATAAAGTAATATAATACATGATATAATATAATATAATAAAAACATATATTTTACATATCAATATGTACAAGTGTGTAATTACAAGCAGCTTCGCAAAATATTGAAATATTAGCCTACTAGTTCATTGGCATAGTTAGTACATGTTACTACACAGTAACAAGAGCACTGTGACCATGAATGCTAACCCCAATATACTGTGATAAATCCATAATCTTATTTATTTACATAATTCCATTGTATAGGCCTATAAATGCATAGCCAATAAACACACAAAACAGTTATATTTCCCAAATATAATATCATATAAAAGTATTGGATACAGTGCGAAGAGTAAATGCATAATTTCATCCTTTACTTTTTCATATTTTGCTACAAATCTACAATATTTTACGATAATACACTGAGCCAGTAATGAATTCGCTAACTCAGGTCTTCAAAGGCCTCTTATATTTTTGAATTTGAAGCAATCCTAAAAATGCCATCCTCTGGCGGCACTGCGCGCGACCCCAGTGCTTCGATCCTCAGCGGAAATGACGCACGACGGCCTCTTCTCCTCCACTCAGCTGCTGCTAGCTGGCTGCTAGAGGGACTGTCGACAAATCGACAAATCCCGTCAAAAACTAACATATCTGGATTTTGTTGCTTTTATTTTGCCGCTGGAGTGCGTTTGTCACCCGACATCATGCCCATGTACAAGGTAAAGCCCGTCAGTCCCGGTGACATAAAGATTGATTTGCCGACGTGCATGTACAAGTTACCAAATACCCACGCGCAGGGAATGAACTGCGGAGAGCACGCGCTTCAGGTAATCGGAAGCACATCAGTTCACCATTCAAACCACACATATGAGCATAAAATCATAAAGATGCGCAAAATACACAGTCGCTAAGGCCGAAGCAAGTTTGTCTGATGCAATGGGCGCATGCATGTCGGCTTTGATGATTGACAAGCTGCAGTGCTTTGTGCTCTGGAATGAGAGGTTGGTCCTCCAGTGAGATGTTGGATTTCCTGGAATCTCACTTTCAGTTTAATACACTGCAGTGTACGAACAACAACGACTCCCTGAGATACTTAGGAAGGAGATGGATCATATTAGAAAAAAGGATGTTGATGATGATGATGTTATGGTGAATTGATATTCCTATTATTTATAGCAGGGGCCACTTGCACTTAGTTAGAGTTAGTTTAATGCAACCAAATGCTGTTTTGTAGTGAACATTTGAAGGTATCCATGCAGATTGCATGTAAGCGGTCTCTTCTCATCTGTGTCTCTTGCTGCTCTCAGAACGGGGAGGTGGATCCTGCTCTGAAGGCGCTGGAGGAGCGACAGGATGAGGTCCTGAGAAGACTGTATGAGCTAAAGGCAACGGTCGACGGGCTGGCCAAGACCGTGACCACTCCTGACGCAGACCTGGACGCCAGCACACTGTCACGCGGACCGACTGAGTCTGTGTTCAGAGGAACGGCAGATCTAGACTCCTTACTGGGCAAGGTGAGCCTTTACACGAGCCATTAGCCAGTTTCTATTTATCTTGATGATTCAACCCTGTTCAGGTATTTTCCTTCAGCGTTCTACTGCCAACACTAAATCAGCATAAACATGCCAGTCCGGTTAACCAGTTAACCGAGTGTTTGTGTTCTGTTTCTGTTTAGCAGCCATAATTAGGCGTGGGCATTATGATTCAAATCGTATATCAAGAAATAAGTAATTTTATGTCAGACATGGTATAAATTGTGAGGTTGTTTCTTCTGGAAATTCTGTGGGAAAAAAATTGTGTTTGTTTTAAATAACATTGTCATGGATAAACCTGTGAATTAAAAACTAGTCTTGTTGCTAAATTGGAATTACTAACTTTATTATTATTATTAAGGATAAAATTTGAACAGTATCAAAGTTAATTTATTTAATAATAATAGTATACACACACACACACACAATATATATATATATATATATATATATATATATA